ATATGCGTATAATTCCTGGTGAGAAAGTATTTTAAGCCATATAAGGGACTGTATCTGAGTAATTCAACCCAAATGTGTTATTAGACAATTATGCTATAATTTTATTATGTTTCTTTATATACGTTAGCCCTGATAGGAAAGTACTTTTTAACCAAACAATTATGGATTGTATTTCTTAAATATCTAACTGCAAAATGTTTATATAACATTACTAAAAATTACTTACCAATATAAAATCAGAGTTGAGACAGTATACTTTGTCGTTGGTCTTCTCCTTCCCATATTGTAGCTTTGTAGTTTAAATTGTTGCCTGTTCATCGCGAGATATTTAAAGGTATATCATTTTGTTTTGAAAGCAGACCATAGGCAACACGACGCAAATTATAAGGTTTTTATAAACTAAATATACTTACTGTATACGTTACGTCCGAGATATTTCTTATAACCGAGCTACATTTTTTACGCTTTTTACAAACGCTGCGTAATAATCACATATTAAATACACCTCCAGACAATATCCTTCAAAATTACCTTTATAATTTAATAAAAAACATTTTAAAGGGCCGTAATTTCAGACTGGCATAAAAATTAGATTTTTCCCGCGCTTGCATTTTCTGCCGACTCCGAGTGCTATCCCCCCGGTATGCAAATTTGACGGTTTTCAGACAGCCAATCAGATTACGTATTCGTCATTTTCAAACGTTCTCAAAAGTCAACAGCGCGGGTCCAGCATCGTCCCATTCAAAAAATGAGTAAAATATTAAAAGCTTTTCGCATTTTTCTCGCTTCCATAATTTGTTTTCAATATTAAAATATAGCCAGATGTGGTAAATTATCGTAGATTTCATTTCTGTTGTTATTTTAGCTTAGTTTTAGGGATAAATTGAAGTATTTTTGGATTGTTTGCATGTGTCCCATGTCGATATCGGGATTGAAGTTGCCTACCTAGGAATATATATACTATATAATGCCTACATTGCCTGAACACTGTCAGGCACGCGAGTCGCCCGTTGCGTAATACACAGGATGTCAGGATTTTAGTTAGCATGAATAAATGATACATGTTTCAATTGAATCAAATACGGAAAGCTTTGTTCTAATTTTCAATATTTTAGTGCACTTTTATTTCAAATAAAACCATCGCTATTGGGCTGCCTATGGTGCCCTTATAACTTATAGGCTTATAGATTATGCAAAGCAGAAATATCCCTTTATCTACTTATTTGGTATCTAATACCTTATATGGTGCACGGCCACGCGTAAGCCTGGCGCGAGTCGGAAGCGGCACAAACAATTTCAATCAAAGCGTTTTGTGTTGCGGCGTGTTTACTGTTTACAAATTTCAATTTTCAAGTGCTTTTTAATAAGTGATTTGGGCCTGAGGGTTTATATTTTATTGATTTGTTCGGGGGATAATTGAATTGGTGTCGTGGTAGTTGAATTGGTGTCGTGGTAATTGAATTGGATCATTGGATTATCAAACAAACAGGTTGGTGTCATTATTGTTTATAGTGTTTTGTTCGATCCAAGAAAATAATAAAAATAGCGCAAGAAATATCTTATAAGGCCATACTGGTCGCGCGGGAATACCTGTAGTTTTAATAAATAATAAAGGTGATCTTGGATAAATTTCCTTATTCATAATTTCATATCCTTATTTAAATACTGTTGGCGGACAACGGCATCCATTGAAAGCTTACCGGCAACACTTCGTCTCGCAAATTGCAATCCGTCCCATATCTTAGGAATCCTTTCATTTAATGTGTTACTTCTTAGTATTTCTTGATGCTAAGTGTTTTTTATGGTTATTTCGTATAAACTTATTGTGTGTAAACAAATAACACACCTGAAATTTATTGTATGAAATACGACATTTGGCAGTGACTTGTATTATATCCTACCCTTTGTGCCATAAGCTAAACTGCTAAAACTGCTTGCCCTTATATACAGCAGTGGTAAACTGTTGTTTCATACGTGTGTATAAGAAATTGTCCTTGGATATATATTGGGACAAATAATGTCGAGTCACATATCAATGAGAGATATTTTCTGTTTAATTTATAATTCAATTTTTCCATAGTCTTCTCTGAGAGTGCATCAGGCCTGTAGTTTATGTGAAATTGGTGTAGTAATGGGTTTTCTCAAGATCCCCATCCTTGTACTATCCTTGCCCAGCAGGAATTAACCATTGAACAGTGGAAGGGTATTATAGGCATGCTTCCCTGTATATTTTAGATACTGTGTAAGTATATGTAACATAATGGGAGTATGTTCTACAATAGAAACAACCATTTTGAATATTGTAGGACCTTGAATCTATGATATGGCTTATTGGCGTAGTTACAGAAAGTTCTCTGCTGAAGCAATTGCTCTTGCAGCGTCTGACAATGAAGAAGACAATCCTGAATCTTTAAGTCATACAAATGATCTTTTGCAAAACAGTTGTAGTGATGAGTCATCAAATTATAGTGATACAGATAATCCTGAACTGATATATAGCTCTGAATCAAACTCTGATACCGATTTTTCAGAAAATGAGCATGAAGGAAATTTACCTCCTAATGATCCTTCACTCCCAAATACTAATGATCCATCACTCCCATCAGAAACATTGAGAGGGAAGCTTGCAACCTGGGCAACAAAAAACAAATGCCAACGTACTGCTGTAAATGAGCTACTTCAAATTCTTCGAGGGCAGGGACTTTGCCTTCCGAAAGACAGTCGCACCCTTTTGCAAACCCCTCGTGAAGTAATTACTTTATCTAAGTGTGGCGGGCAATATGTATACCTGGGGATTGAAGCTGGCATAACTGATATTCTTTCGAAAAATGCATCTTTAATAGAAAAGCACACCACAGTTGATTTGATGATCAATGTGGATGGGCTGCCATTGTTTAAATCTTCCACTTCCCAGTTCTGGCCTATTTTAGGTTATTTCAATAAGGTTGAAGTCTTTATTATTGCACTCTTTTATGGTAATTCTAAACCAAGTTCTGTGGATGATTATCTTGATGATTTAATCGAAGAGCTTGATAAGTTAAAAATTCATGGTGTAAATTTTGAAGGAAGGCAACTTGCCTTTAATCTGAGGTGTTTTTGTTGTGATGCTCCTGCAAGTGTTTTTTAAAAGGTATAGTTGGTCACACGGGCTACTTCTCTTGTGAGCGGTGTAAAATTAAGGGGTCATGGAATGGCAGAGTTGTGTTTAATGATGATGATGTTTTTGCACCAAGGACTGATGTTGAATTTTCGAATTTTAGTTATCATCACCACCAAAAAAGTGCTTCCTCCCTAGCTTCACATGGTGTTTCATGCATTAAGCAGTTTCCACTTGACTATATGCACCTTGTATGTTTAGGTGTTACTCGGCGCTTGCTCACTTTCCTTAAAAATGGGCCAAAAATTTGCAAGCTGTCTTCCAGACATATACTGCAAATATCCGAGAGCTTGATGTTGTTACATGGAAACATGCCAAGTGAATTTGCAAGACAACCAAGGTCGTTGGTTGAACTTGATCGCTGGAAAGCTACTGAGTTTCGCCAGTTTCTTCTTTATACTGGGCCTGTTGTGTTAAGAGGCATTTTACCAGATAGACTATACCAGCACTTTCTTTCTCTGTCTATTGCTATTTCCATAATGCTTGACATGAATACTGCCAAGCGAACCTCGTATCTGCAGTATGCAAGAGAGTTAATAACTAATTTTGTGAGTAACTGCAAATCTCTGTATGGTGATACCTTTGTGGTGTACAATGTACACAACCTTCTGCATTTGCCTGATGATGTTGACTATTTCCATTCTTCATTAAATGAAATATCATGCTTTCCCTTCGAGAACTTTATGCAACAGTTGAAGCGACTTGTTCGAAGTCCCCTATTGCCCAGGTTGTTAAAAGACTAGCAGAACTGAAGCACTCTGTGCAAAAACACCAATGTGATTGGCGCTACACTCATATCTCTACCAAATTGAAGGATAGCTGTTTTATGCTGAAGGACAACACTTATGTTTTTGTTGGACTGCGGAGATCAGGGTGAAAGATTTGTCTGTGAGGTAGTATCAGAACGATCGACTCAGAGCTTCTTCCATATCCCAGCTGATTCGAAACTATTTAACATAGTGTATATTGATAACTCGTCACGAAAAGGAAAAAGACGCCTTGTTGAAAAATGCGAAATTCTACAAAAGCTGTTTGCCTTCCATACCGGTCAGGATTTGTCATTTTCCCAATGCATCACGAGGTTGAAAGATACCGATAGTCCTAACCCTACTCCAGGTAAATTAATGCAGTAGACGTGTAATTATAACATATCACGTGATTATGTAATTGCCATATAAGTGGATTCCCCAGCTTGGCCTATACTGCAAAATTTTTATTTTTGATGAAAAAGTACATTGCGTTTGACTTAATACTGTTATATCAAAAAACCTTAAGGTTTAGGATCCCACAGAACTATAATGTAAAGTAGGTGTTCATGTTGTTGGTATAGCTTTATGATAAAAGACTCCCAATTTACGGGTCAAAACATTTCTTTTCTGTTAAAGCTTGTCATATACTGCACATGTACACAGAATAGTCTGTCTCTATAATCAAAAGTCAGTAGGTCATATACTTATTTTTTTTCTCTTTTAAGAATGTGGGTAAGAGCTGTTTGGCAGGAGGGAAAAAAGCAACACGAAGGCGTTGTTCCAGATGTGTGGATTCAGAACAACAATGTAAGATGGCCATCTGGATTGAATGTAATTAAACCTCATGCTGAAAGACAAACACCGTGTGCAGACTGGAAAACCTTTCCACTTATTAAAATAAATGTACCGCAGGTCAGTAATTTTATTATTGATATAAACTATTTTCCTAAATTTCCATTCCTAATGACGATAATGTGGATATTACTTCATGAAAAAAGAAACAAGTGGGCGGTATTATAATAACCAAACAAATAACGTTGCAGCAACAGAGTCATGCATATATGCATTTCAAGGCACGTATTTCCAGTTGTTCTCTATTTAATTTGTATTTTTGTAAACCAGATGAAAAACAAGTTTGTGAAAGGTACGATTTTACGACCACTGCCGAAGTAAGTGATGGTGATGAGGATCATGAAGTATATAGGAAAGAGAATTTAATTCTAAGGAAAAGAGTCGAAAAGGTTAGCAATTACAACATACATCTTTGTATAAGTATTTTTGTATTTGGCGTACTTATTCTTTCTTGTATTTTGCAGGAAAACAAATCGTGTATTCGTCAGACAATAATTCTGATAGTGACGGTGGAAATGCTAACTGTATGTATCAGAGTCAAAATCTAATCCATCGAGTATACTTTGTCCTTAATTATTATATTCTATTTTTTTCGCTCTACAGTATGCGTAATAATGTAGTGTTGCACTTGTATGAAACTTTTACTAGTTTTAGTAACAATAATTTGCCGAAGGCGAGGTGATTATCGCTTTCAATAATCACCTTTGTACTTATACTAATGAGGCTTATTTACTTGTCAGCTATTTCAGATTTCCCACCTCCACCAAAGAAATTTATTTCAGCAACGAACGATTCGAGCATCCATTTCACGTCGATGATTCCAAGAACACCACTGTCAAGATCGAGAAGCCCTCTTCGAGAAAAACCGAATAGCAGTAACAGACCACGGAACAAACAACACAATGAGCTTGTCACAATGAACAAACGTAAGCTAATCATGGCATTTAACTTTTTGTAAAAAATAGATACTCTAGAGATCTTCATTTAATATACTACTGATTTTAGAACCAAATTTTCTTTTAAAATCTTATTTCTACTACTTTGTTTCTACTAATTTTAGACTTCTCTTCATCATCATCCAAAACACATTCTGCATCGAACTGCAAAAGAAAGTCAAGACCCAGAATGCGTTCGAGATCGAAAACAAGATCAAGGACGAGGTCCAAACCTTCTCAGTCAGAGGAACAAAGTTTATCTGGAAAGAAAAAGACCCCAGAATACCTTAGATCCAACGATGGACCATTACTTTCGGAGCTGCAGGTAAAGCAGTAATGATGTCATGATTGTATGCCGAGGCATTAAAACTTACTTCGTTTGCTCTTGGTATTTATTTACGTGACAATCAATATTTTCGTCTTAAAGTTTAGAGCACTATTCTTAAGCCTTATTCCCCGGACAAAACGCCTCTTACGCAGCCTGCTAAAAAGCTTGTTTCCTGTGCTTTTCAGATATTCTGGCATCAATATTCCCTGATGCAACAAGAAGATCACGATCAAAAACCAAGTCTAGATCACGATCAAAAACAAGATCTAGATCGACTTCCCGATCAGAAAGAAATGACAGAACGAGATCACGATCGACGACAAGGTCAAGATCCAGAACGAGATCCAGATCAAGGTCCAGACCTTCTCTGTCAGCACCAGGGGTAAGAAGGGAAAGTTTGGCTGAAAATACTATCCCAGAAAAACAGCATGAGCGAAGTTTTGGTATTGAAAACACCGTTGCTAGGAGTAACAGTGGATTCCCCATATCAGAAGCAAGTAAGTACACATGCTGTAAAATATGATCACCCTAGTCCTCTTGCCAAGTTGCCAAACGTGTATAGCTATTCCATGGACTATAATCCCCATTTTTGGGCATTGAAGAGATTTAAATTAGAAACTGCTAGAACATGTCTTCACCTGTGAAAATCGTTTGAGTTTTGTTGCATTGTTGTTGAGTTTTGTTGCATTGTTTTTTCAACACATAGAATTTCAAAGGAGAGTTTTGCAGCTATTAACCGAAATTCGTAACTCGGTTGCCCAAGTGGGAAAAAGATGTTCTCCTGCCAATTCTGCAGTTCATATCGATCAGGCAACGAGCTTGGAGGAACTGATCGCATTAGAAAGCAGCCTTGCTGATAAAGACACCAGAGATGTATTGGTAAGAATAATCTAAAACCTGTGTATGAATTGTTGACTGGTCAATGTAGTTAACTAAATATAAAACTGACAACAATGATGGAAGAGCTTATCAATAATTACGGAAAAATATCTTTGTCTTTGACAATCCTCCATTCTTGTGGTCGTTTATATAGTCCTAATATACTTCTCTTATTGAAGATTTGTATTAAATTAACTATGCCAGAACTCGACTTCTTACTGTAAAAATGAGTCCAAAAATTAATACTATTTCTCTAATTAGTCATGCGTTTTAATAAATCGTTATCAATTCGACATGTTTAGCCATGACATGCCTGACCAATTGACCATTGTTTTTCAGTTATCACGAATCATTGATATCGGAGGACTGAACGTCAGAGAGAATGTCCGCAATGTAATGCACAGGTATTAACCATAGATGTATGACTACCCAGAGTGTGCTACACTGCTAACTAGTATAATGTAGATTGAAAGTCTCTGTTCTCAACATTTTCAATATTTTTTAGATTGATGAATAATGAAGTTATGGCATCAATGAACATGAAGGGAAAGGGTTCGAAATATGCGTTTGGGTCTACCAAAGTATTTCAAGCTGTTGTAGGTATGTGAAACTGTTCTCTTTGTGGTGTATGTTTCTGCAATATATATATACCGCATTCGTAAGAATTTTTCAAGTAAACGTTTGCTGTTTTGTTGTATCTACTTCATTTCATATTAATAATTAGTGATTACTGATTTGCTTGCTTATCAAAAGAAATTAACATGACATGAATTATTTTTATTATTTCTCTAAAGAAGTGTTTTGGATGATTTTGTGTTTGTTTTTACTTGTTTTGCCCGCACGATCGCTACTTAAACATATCGCATAACTTCATGTTGCTTGCCAAATAATGAAACTTTATCGTTAATATTGTGCTACGTATTATTCTTAGAATGTGTGGTTAAAAATCAAAAAACGTCAGAAGCGGAGGTGAAGCAAGCTGTACAGCAACTGCTGAAATACGCGCCAGATAGGCAAGGAGGAGGTGGACGAAAAGACACCGCTTAAATTTTGAAAACAAAACACTTAAATAAAATTTACTTGGCGATAACAATTATTATATAGTTTTTTAAGTATTTATATGTCTGTTTTTTATTGTATATTGGATTATTTTGTAATACGCATTATTCTATTATATTAAAATGAAATAAAGTAGCAATTTTATCACCGAAATATGATGCTTTTTCTGCTGTCTTATGTTTCAAGGCTGGTTTCCACTCAGCCTGCAGAGCTATATGGACGCGTCGTAAATATTGACGGTGATTTTAACTTTGATAATTGTGGTCGTTTCAACGTTGAAATGACGTCTTTTTCCGACGTCGTTTTGCGACGTCGTTTCGACGTCGTAAAACGACGTTGATCCAATTTGCGTTTTCAACCTTATTTCGACGTCAGATCGACGTCGAAGATCGACGTTGAATCAACGTTGAATCGACGTAACTTTGCCCGCTGGGTTGGTGGTTAATTAATGACCTCGACTCGTCTTGCTGATGTGACCCGCGTTGTCACCAATATTTCAAATATCATTACATAATATTATTACATTGAAAATATGAATAGGTTAAAATGCTACGTTCAAAATATCTTACATGAGTATACTACTTTGTATTTTAAATATCAGTGTGAAAATTTTATTCGAAGACAACGTAATGCTTCTTTCCGCAATAACTTATTGCGCCAATAGAACAAGATGGAATTAAGAACTGATAGTGAGAAAATGAGTGTCGTACTCCAAGAACTTAAAATGATTGCTTTAAACGTTGCTTTTGGCGTCAAGCTAACCTCAATGGCAGAAGGCAGATAGCAACTGAATGTACAAAACAAAACAAAAAAGCATGTTTTAGCATCGCGTATTCCTTGCAGAAAAGCCTTTCGACGTTTAATGTTTGCACGACCAGTGATAACGTCAATCCTACGTCTGTTATATACTGCCAAAAAAATTCTTGTATGCATAAAAACCATTGCTAGCATAGTTAGTGTTATAAATACGGTTTGTATTACTTTCACTGTTCCTTGATCGATGAAATATATAAAAAAGTAGGCTCGTAACGAATGGACAAACCAAAGGATAAAACGATTTTGAAAATACGTCTATTCGTTACTTTTTCCCTATGAAAAACTGGATGTATGACTGACAAATATATTTCAAAATTTAGAGCCAAAAATGTGACAACTGATGCAGACACAAGTATTTCAATTGCTAGGTTGCTCATCATGACATTAAAACATCTTTCATTTCCACGTATTTCCCTGCTCAGATGTAGCAAAACAGCGGTTCTGCAATGAGTCCAGCTGCTAAGTCGTTTGAAGATAAAACCATTACAACGAAAAACGAAGTTTTCCGTTTTAACTGCGGCGATTTCCAAAACGCATGGATAGCTAGATAGTTGAGAACTATTATCAAGAGCGTTTGTATGAAATTGTAAGTTAAACAGACGACATGGTTGATATAGCATGGCCGGCAATGAAAGCCAGTGACAAGTAACAACTTTAAATTCTCCCAAACGCAATATTCCAAATATTTTTCAAATTCTGCAGTTGGTGTTGTAGACGTTTCGTTTCGCGTCATGTTTCTTCATTTCAAGAGCTCTATAATTGCTTAAACTGACTTTTGATAGCCTGGAATAATTTTTGTTTTATTTGGCCTATCATCTAAGACTAAGTGCCAGATGGTTAAATAAAAAATGAGATAAAGACGTAATGACTCTTGGCAAATATGACAATATTGATATGGAAATGCCATCTATACATGTCTCTCCGGCTGTCTTTGAAACATCACTACTTCTATAATATGGATTTCACGTATTCCCATAACATCAAGCTTTTACGTTTTAAAGATTGGCTGTATATTGATGGGTCTAATATAATTAATCAAAAGATATTACTAGTTTTTCCTCAAGTCCCAAATTTGCATTTCAAAAAAAATGTGTACTTTTGAGATTACAAACTCGTCCACGTGACTTGAGGTAGCCGCCATCATGTCGCGCCATGTGTTCACATTCTTATCAGTAAAATTTGTGAAAATGTGATATTCTGTTTTCATCGTAATGCCGGCCTGCCGTCATGACAGACCAGGCTTTCAGGAGAAGGAAAAGATAAACAGATATGCAAAATACGATATTTTTTTAACTCCAAACGACGATGCAAAGGCTATTTTTTATCTATCATCAGTTCTATCCTATCAGTTCGAACTAAGTGCCCAGGAAACAAACGTTTTGCGCTACGTTTCACTACCATGTGATTGAGGTCGTCGCCAAATGTCGTCATGCACATGCACAATGCAACAACGAACACATAGCCTCATTAAACTAACGATCTGTTCGTCAAATAATTATAGACTAAACGTTGAAATTGATTATTTTTCATATCATGTTTGACCTCATTCAGTAATTAATAAGTCGCACCGTGTCACGTTCAACAAACGAGTTAACTTTTGATTAGTTTAATTCCCTCATCACGATATTTTCATGAGCATTTTTGGGCGGGGCTTCGAAATAAAAATTATGTATAGCTCTTTATATCCACGAACTTTTACTACCTCCAGCATTCTGTTTATATGAAGTGTAAATGCATGGTATACTTAATTCGGTATAGTGTTGATACTGTTAAAGGTGGATAAAATTCATCATCGAATATTAAAAATGTCAATTACTGACACTTATCATGACCAACTTTGGCAAGACGAACTCTGGGGGATTCTAGTAATAGCTATAGTTGTCTTAAGAAGGGCCTGGAGGTGAACTGCATCAGTCACATCACGTTGCTCACATCACTAATAATTAATTTTAATTATAAGAACGGCGGCTCTTATTTTTGGAGGCTTACTATTTTCTAGTGTTCGACAGACAAGACGAAGGACAGCATTACCATTTTGCGGCGAATTCCGAAGCTGAGTATAACGACTGGAATAAACATATAAAAAATGCAAGGTTAGTGTTAAGGCTATATGCGATTTTGTCTTTTGATGGATGTAAACGAGTGATTAAGTTACTGATGTTCAAATAAGAGCTTTTATACACCAGAACATTCGTAACTAATTACTCGTTCACATCTATCAAAAGAAGAAAATCACACAAAATCGCAGCAAAAATCGCAAGTGTAAACGAGCCTTTAAGTTTTCATTGAACCGTAGCTTACATGACTATGCAGTATATATAATGATGATTGATTCTTGCAGCTACGAAAAGCTTAAAGAAAAATTACAAAAACTATGTGAACAGATTACCGAGATGACTGGTGAGGTAAACAATATTATAAACAATATCGTGTTGGGCATGGGCATGAACTGTGCGATGGGAAGTCAAGTCTATCCACAGCTAGTTATTATGCATATATCCGTTGGATTGCAAACTGCCCTTGTTAATTTTAGCACCCGTTACCGCATAACCATCCATTTCGTGATGATAACGACAGCGAGGTAAGCATTTGTTTACGTAAGTATATACCTGTGCCCATCTTTAATACTCTGAGGTACCAGGTTAACCACCGGCCTCTTAATGCTTCACAAGTGAACAACCTGGTGGCATTATCGATTGATACGCGCGCCAGCTCTAGTTGGCGGAAGCTTTGCGTCGATGAGAAAACACATATAGTGCACATATAGTGGCAGCCTCACGGAGTGGTTGCTTCAGGAAGTTGCTCTCACGTGTTTGCGGCGGAATTTATCACATTTTTTTCGTGCAATTTTAGCCTCCAAAACCACCAAAACCGCTTCACAAACCTCCGTTGCTGGAAATAAGCATGGGTAATGTTCATGTAAATTATAACTTTCGAGCATGTATAGAATTTTGAAAAACTCATTCTGAACAATATGTTAAGTAAAGCTAAATATTGTCAATTTATTACACAGCTTGCAATGATCTAAAACCAACTGTGGAGAATAAATATCCAAATGCAGTTATAGTTGTTAGTACTATGACCCCTCCTGGAGCAACTTGGTCCAGACTTGCACAGACTGAAATAATAGAGGTATTACAGCATGATCAGGACCTGTTGAGGCGATTTTTATCCAATACTGTTTTTGTCCAATTTTCCGCATGTGCATGTTGGATTTTCTTGTGTTTTAGCAAAAACGTCACCCATATTTCTTGACGACTATAAGCATACCTTCTGGTGGAAATTACAGTGAGGTAACAAGACTAAAACTTGCTGTCTTTGATGTTCGCGACCGAGATAAAGAAGAGGCAAGTAGTTCACTAAATATAGTGTATGTAATTTTTTAACTTCAAAACAAATCGTCTTATTGCACAAAACGTCAGGGTTCTTCAAGTGAGATGAATTTTTTAGATGACTCATTTGGGTCAGGCAGTTTGTACAATCAAGGATATATTGGATTCTACGAATCAGAAAATTCAACTTTCTCTTACGTGAGTTCATCATTATGCTTTCCGAGAAGCAGAGAATAAATATTGGATGATATATAAATTCAACCAAATACTAGTGTACCCTTTATAACATGCATGTTTCTTTTTTCGGACCCTTTACATGTTTCCGCGGTCAATAGTTTCAAAATGTCATGACAATTTCGAAATGTTGTCTGTTTTAGTGGCTTGGACTCTCCAATGGCCTCAGGGACAATAACATTGTTAGGCTGGAAGGTAAAATAATTTTTATCAAAATAGATCTAAAGATCAAAGATCAAAAGATCAAAAGATCTTTCTTTCTTTTAACTGAGAAATCTTTCTAACTAACAACAACAAAAATGTCATACTATAATGCATGTATTTTAGGTCGAAACTGTTCAAGATACTTTGGTAGGTATATAAGGTTATTGTAATAAATAGATTGTATTATGCATCCTTGAAAGATTGGTCAAGTATTAATGATTGTATTTTTTTAATCTTTGAAATAAGATTTTTCACCTATTTTCAGGCGGACACTGATGGAACGTTCAGACCAAGATGTGGCTCAATAAACAAGTGCGTAAACGATAATCGTTTGAAGCAGTTGTGTTATAGGGTGCCTTAGGAAGATAGATCAAGGAGAGTGACGCCCGATTATTATTGGTGTTTTTTTCATCTTCTATATAGACCGAAATTCGACAATATGTTACAAAGATCATTTAGATTTCCTACAATGTAAGTATTGCATGTGGTTTTACTGCAACGAAAGATCGCGTCATCATAATGGGTTGAAAAGTCAATTCGATACTTTTTAGCTTGGGTACAGAGGTGAAGTTTGTGGATATGATGGGCGAAAGCTTTCTGACGTTCAGAATTCCTCAACAATTACTGTAAGTCATGAGTAAAATATGATATTTCATTTAGTAAAATGATTAGTTTTCGTCTCGAACTAAAATGTCGTTACCTATAGTTTACCGACTATATAATACGTTAAAATGTTTACCTTTTTGCAAATGCTTAAATACCGCGATATAATTTCAAATTTATAATCTGGAGCAAATTGGAATAGACTAGAAATAGTTATCGGGATTACGAGATGCATGCGTGGGTTGAAAATGAGATCATCTTGCATGGGAGAAAGTCACATTCAGTAAATGACCAAGCAGTGGTAATGTAGTACCTAACTTAAGTAATAAATTTTCATATATTCTTTAGGCCTAAATGATTTTCAACCTGAATCGGAGGATGCCGATGACCCCGAATGCCAGGTATTTTTGATTCACTAACATGCAGACTGACCGCAAATAAACTGAATAACTTGGCTTGGCACAAATAAACCGACTGATTGGATATAGGAAGAGAATAAATCGGACGTTTTTCATGTAAATTACTCTTCGATAGGTTCTGCGTAATTCTATTGAAAGTTCAGTGGCGCAGATTCTAAAAATGATTAATGAATTGAATAAAGAAAGTCCGCTAATTTTGAATGGTAGGTTTTCCGTATAGCCTCACGAAATTAATCCTTTACTTTCAAAGTGTCATAATAGAGTTGTCCAATTGGGATCAAGCGTTTTTGAGTGAGTTGTTTTGTAAGCTAGTAGCTATAAACTACGTTTTATCTTAGACTTAGCAAAGAAAAGTTGGCGAACGATAGGAGAGAAGACTTTGGATTCCGTGGTAGATGATGTTTACTATTTTGTTGACGCTCTTATTAAGAAATTAAATTTGGGAATGATTTTCGTTCTACTTCAGGTCAGTAAAGTTATCGACACAAGTTACTGTAAGCCCCATGCAGAGGGAGATAAGATATAATGCGTATTAACATTATAATAGAAAAATCTTTCGTCTCTAATTTCCATATATTTTTGTGGCATATATATTTGTATTGTGTTTGCATGTGTAATAGTATATTATAGTCGTGTTATATGAAGTGATGTAATTACCTGGCAAAGGTTATAGCGACATCTTCTCTTAAATAAACTTTTGGAAATATTTATTATTTTATTCAGGAAGAATCGCGTCATGCCCAGACTATGCAAGACCTCCGTCAACGTCGCGATATTTGTCTTTCACAGGCAGTAAGTTATTCAATGTATAAACTCTGTCATGCGAAGAATCTTCGACTGGCCCCCTTTAATGTAATAAGAATAGTCATGTCAGGGATTTCTAAATTGAAAAGCAATGTATAGATCTGATTTTATTTTGTATCAGCTAGTGGGCAATATATAGGTTACGTTATTACTCCGCCTGCGTATGCGCAGCGGAGTCTTAAAATGCCATGGTCTTTTTTCCTTTTCGTCGTTTTGGGCGACAGAAGTTGGCATTTCTACAGGTAACCCAAAACAACTTCATTTTTGACCGAGAAGCCCCTGGGTTACACGGTCCACGGATGACTTATGTTCATCAGTTGGCATGCAGGCGGAGTGAACGCTTTGAGCAGGCGTCTTGTTGAGTTTATTTTTATATATAGTAGATCAAGGGTGATATAAATTAAACCGTTTTATGGTAACGTTTTAAGGTAACGGCACTCATTTGTGGATTTGAAGCTAAAATTTACACATCACTATTTGACGCAAGTTTCATGAAACAACTTTGTGAGATTGGTGTTCTTGCTGAATTTGAATGTCTTCTGAGTACTTACGGTTAGTTATTAGAATTAAGAAAGGAAAGTATATCTATGTTTTTTATTTCTTTTCTTGCGAATGTACATGCACGAGTGTAACCGAAATTAATCGTAACTTCATGCATGTGTAGTCGTAATTTCTGTGGGAAGAAAATTCTTCCATTGGCATCGAATTTCAATAATATCAGCGTTGACCGCGCAAAATCTAATTGTTTCTGAAGTACACTTACATTTTACCAGCACGTATATTTGTTTAATACGAAGTTTCTGCACTTACGGTGCATGGAACTCTTTCTGTCTATTTTTTTACCTCTGCGTGGAGATATATAAGAAGGGTGTTCCTTGCGATTTACACTGCATGTTTTAGCAATTCAAGTTATTGACACATGCAAATTCGCACTGGACAAACTCAGCGAAGGCTGATTAAAGCTAAATTTCAAACTGGGTGCAAAATATCCGTGACTATATAACGCATTTTTGTTCTAGTATTTGCTATTTAGCGATCCTGGTTTCAGTATTTTGCATACACTTCAACATTGCGACCATGCAAGCGTCTGCATGTTGTGGTCTGTTTTACGCCTAAATCGTTTTTAATATTTCTATTTTTTAGGTGATGAAATGGGAATGTTAGAAGACATGTCCATTGCAATACGCGATCTTTCATGTGTCAAATTTAAGGTTCTTTACCATAAATGTGACTGATCATTTACAAGCGCACTTTATTAGGATGCAGTAAAGGGACAAGGGATAACGTGAGGTTAAAGAATGAAGATTCCTCATGGGCTTATTTTGGCGATAACAAGAAAGCTAGTCCAGAAAACAGCGTCATTATGCAATGTGTTGACCAAGTCTTTAACTCTTATATCTTTCTTTATATTTCCTTAAGCGAACTTTTCATCATCTTTTTTTTCAGTTCGCTTGCTCTGATAACGAAACGATTCCCTACGTCACTGGAACAAGGTATAATACAATTGCAAGCGCACGATATCATACGGCTTTAAGGCTATGTTTGGTAGTATCCAAATTTACATCTCTCAAAAGAAGAATTGCATTGCAAGTTGCAGGAAAAATTGCACTGTGTAACAGGGCCTTTAGTATCATGCTAATTATTAAACTCCCTGACGATTTCTTTTTGCCTGTTAATAAAACAGGTGCATGGATACCGTTGCATATATAGTACATATATTTGTGTATCTTTTTTCAAGGGCTAATATTCATGTTACCATACTCCTCGAAACAGAATATTTCTGTTATTTACCCAAAGAATTGCAAGAAGGAAAATTAATACAAGTTTCTCCAGTTATTTTCACTCAAGGGATCAACGAACATGCGACTTTAGCTGAAAGGTGACTGTAATGATTTATACCGTACATCCCCATTCATGTATGATAAAAACCATTGAAAGATCTTGTATAATTACACAGTATCACTCAGTAACCTCGTTTAAAGCGGGGTGCATGTTTTTTAAATTGAAACACCTTATTATCTTGTATACGTAGTATCTTCAAAGATCGCAGGCTTGATAATAGTTAATTAGTTATAACCTGGGTGTAAAACTCTTAAGATCTTACAGCAAGTATAGCTAAAAGCAAAGAACACAAAGATGAAGAGATCTAGTAAAACTAGAGCTAGATAGGATCAGAGCATTCGTGTGTTTTTTGATGCTACTGCCCTGCAATACGAGTTTTACTGTTTTTCGTAAAAACACTTCCATCCATCCTATAAAACAAATAATCTTTTCTTTCGTGACGTAACCGCATATTTATTTAAAAAGGTTTGGAGACACCTCACTTCAAGAAGCAATCAACGATGAACATTTCAGTTACATACATTTATACTACGAAAAATTCCGAGAACATTTCCCTGAAGATCTGGAATATGAGGTGGAAAGCCATGACAACGAGATCACCAGAATGAGTTTGCTTCTAAACGATTTCTGGCACATAGAAGATGTGCATGTGCTTAGGGTGATTATCATGTAGTTAGACGTGCGATCATCTTTGTACCAGATGAAATTCCATGTCCTTGAAGAATTGGATGATACTTTTCTTTAATTAGGATCCTATTATATCTTTCAATATTGCCAAACCGAGCATGACCAAAGCAGCTAAAAGTTTGCTTGAGTAGGATTTAGTTTCTTCGAACCTCTCCAAGGTTAGTTGCATACCACCTTTTTAAATTCTCACATCTTCTGCGATCTTACGAGGAAAGAATCCTTCAATACTTAATGGAACTATTTGTCCTTGTGCACCATCACTTTGCCCTTTTTCCTACCCATCTTGGGCAGTGTAAAGGAATGAGAACTTTATTTTGTTATAATTTAGATCATTAGGACCAAAACAGTGTGCAATTAATATAGTTTACAGTACTGAAACACTAGCACGCATGTCTTAACTCCAATACGCTGCCAGGATTTAATACTGGAATTCTACAACGACTGGACTCAAACTTTTGCCTCCTACTGTATATGTATATGTATATGTATATGTATATGTATATGTATATGTATATGTATATGTATATGTATATGTATATGTATATGTATATGTATATGTATATGTATATGTATATGTATATGTATATATGTATATGTATATGTATATGTATGTATATGTATATGTATATGTATATGTATATGTATATGTATATGTATATGTATATGTATATGTATATGTATATGTATATGTTATGTATATGTATATGTATATGTATATGTTATGTATATGTATATGTATATGTATATGTATGTATATGTATATGTATATGTATATGTATATGTATATGTATATGTATATGTATATGTATATGTATATGTATATGTATATGTATATGTATATGTATATGTTATGTATATGTATATGTATATGTTATGTATGTTATGTATATTGTTTTATTTATATGTATATGTATATGTATATGTATATGTATATGTATATGTATATGTATATGTATATGTATATGTATATGTATATGTATATGTATATGTATATGTATTGTTAATGTATATGTATATGTATATGTATATGTATATGTATATGTATATGTATATGTATAGATATGTATATGTATATGTATATGTATGTATATGTATATGTATATGTATATGTATATGTATATGTATATGTATATGTATATGTATATGTATATGTATATGTATATGTATATGTTATGTATATGTATATGTATTTATAAAGTATACTGAAACTTTTAGCCGCCGGCGTTGACTGCAATTACAGAATAAAATAACATTTGAAGTTTTTTTCTTTGTCTGTGAAGATTTTGAACTGTTTTAATCGTTTGAAATTTCGATTTTAAACCGTTACTTAATTGCTGGCATGGTATAATGCAGCAAATTGAACGAGCAATGTTTACCCTAGC